TCACCTACAGGGCTCTTTATGCTGCTCCTAAAGGCATACATAGGAGAAAACCAATCCATACCACAATGTATATTCAATACTGGTAGTTTCCAGACTGTTTAGACAAACAGCTCCCTTTGTTTCCCTTTAGTTTCTCCTATTTCTACATCTTATTGTCAGCCTTATAATTCACGACATCATGATTTAACTCATTTAAAAACCCAATAACATAATCCTATGGACCAATTGTTGTAAAGCACTGCTCTGTATCACAGATATTGAAAATGCTAGCAGAAGGGATTGTATTTCAAACCTTGGGGATTAATACATATCTCAATTATTTAAAAGGAAACTTTTTCCCACGATAGAATTCAATTCTTACATTAATTATGCTATTGTATGTGAATAATTAATTCACTGGCCAACTCTCCTGACACAGAATGCCATTTTTCAGAGCAGGCTACTTTTCAATTATTATATAACATGATGTGCATAGGAAAAACCCTAAGTTTACCTAGCAGTGGCAATTTCTGAACAGGCAACTAACTGCAGGATATGGAAATTACAGTTTAAAGTTCTGCAGAAACACCAATTTAGTGCTCAACACTTTTGAAATTTGAAAAAATGAATATAAAGTATCAGTCTCTGGTGACTCTTATATCTTCAATCATATGGGCTCTTTGGGCTTCATCATCTGAAAATGGAGACAAAACTGAAAAGAAACTTACAAAGAAAGTCAGTGGTGACCAAAGATAATGAATATCTCCCATGTGAGAAATGATTAAACAGAAGAGGCTCTCCTGCTGTCAGAAAGGACAGGTGGGACATATGGAAGTAAGCTTATGATGGGATGGAGGTGATTAAGTGGGAATGATTAAGTACCTCTTCCAATACAGGAATTACGGAGGCAACTAATGAAATTCTTTGAAGATCTACCATTCTATGATTCTGTGATATCAGAAAACAGTTAAACCACAAAATGGAGTATTTCTTCCCACGGTGCACAATTACAGCATCATATGATATTGCTGATACTAAAAACATACAAGGCTTTAAAAAGCGTTTCTAGAAATTGACAGAAGAAAAAGGGAACCACAAGCTTGGATCCCCAAAGCCATGGGATATGCTGAGATGCAGATTACCAGAAGCAGGCCCACCTGCTGCTGTCAGGATTGTGCCTCTCAACATTTTGAACGCTGGAACTACATTGAATATGTTTCAATGAAATTATGTTCAGCATGGTATAAAAGAGAATTCAGCTAAGGGACTGAAAAATGCCTCGCTGAGCTAAACCTGAGACCCAGACCTGCAAATTAAGCAGATCCTCTCTGCAGTCTAACAAGGAACTGGGGATATTTAAGCCCCTTACGTAATGGATGGGGTGCTTAAGCTGGAAATGCCATAAGTACAACTGCCATTCTCTTTTTGGTTGTCTGAATCCTGGTGTGGACTGTCAGACCTGCAGCTTAAATCATTGTACAAAATGACAAAAATACAAAATACTCCTTTTCTAAATGTCCACACAAAGAAAATCTGTGTTCTAAACACTTGAAAAAGCATTTCAAATGATTTCTTAGTCACACGAATTTCACATCCTTTCTTGTTAGCAGTATTTTCATGAAAGCCACTTGGCCACAATCCATCCGCTTCAAGGACAACAGAATCTCTGTAACAAAGATCTCAGATTCTTTTTAAGGAAAAATTTTTCTCACTGCATGAATAGTAAAAACAGACAGATAGTAAATACTGTATTTCTTATATACAACAAGAGATACAACAAACTTTGTATAAATGATCCAGAAACACTCCAAAATGATTAACTGTATTTTTAGGTTTTTAATCTCAGCAAGCTACAACTCATTAATGGATACCCGATTGGTTGTTCTGTTAAATTTAATCTGTCCACATTGCATACTATTTCCTCTTAAACTGACACAAATTAAGATGAACAAAGAAGATACAATTGCTTCCAATTTCTAATTCTGACAAAGTCACGGAAGTTTAGACAAATTAAGATGTAAAAAACAGACTTCAGAGTTCTGGCAGTGCTGCGATTAGCCATGTTGCTCAGCACTAACATTCTTGTTCACCTTGAATCCCACACAACTATTACAGCAACACTCAGAAAACAATTTCTGTCTTAAACAAAGTTTGCACTGAGAGCAATATTTTCCAGTTGGGTTTAAGCACATCATCCCGTCAGACTGAAGTCACACATTTAAAATTTCACACAACACTTTGAGAAGTACCCACACCTTTAATGACCTTTGCTTCAAGAAAGACTATTTCAGAGGAACTATACAAAAGCATCATGCAATTATGACTCATATGTGAGACACTGTAACCTCTGTCATCTTATTCCAGTAAGGAGCTCTTCATGCTTCTTTTGTATGAGTTTGGTGTCCCTAACATTCTAGATAAAAGAGTAGAAGCAGAAACTTATGCCCTGGCTGATTGCATCTGAGCAGATTTCTGCTCTTCTGAGCTAATGGCATTGCCTAAGTGGCTGCAGGTTAGCTAAAAACATTTTTGACCAGCAAAGACTCAAAGAACTGGGAAGAACAACATTTCTACTGAGACAAAGAGCACTGAGTAATGCTAAGGGAGCATTACACAAATAGAAAATCATTATCAGATTCGGGCAAGGCTAGAGCAACAGAACAGGTTTCTACTGAATGACATTCTTTTCCTCAAGTATCTTTAATATAGTAAGCTTTACGTTTAATACCTCACTGACTATTACTCACAGTAATATCTTTGTTATAATACTGTTCTCTCAGTTGTATTTTTTTGCCAGTATTATCCTTAGTTTACAAAGAGATCTTTCAACTGTCATGAAACCCTTACCTGAATCAATTTCACACAGTGAGAGATACTGGAAGACTTTGAGAACAGAATCCTTGCCATGTCATTTAAGAGACGAAGGACAGAAATATTGTGCTTTTTTCATCCCTTGTTCCAACCTATTTTCCAGGCAAAATCAGAAGGTATGAAAAACCCTTTCTGTGTGCATGTGGCATTCACCCTGCCACTAGCAAGCCATAGTCTATGCCCTGCCAGACACATCTTTCAATTGATATTACTTGAGAGTCAGACAGCCTGATGTCACAGGAACAAAATATTTATCCTCATACTGGGTCAAATGAAAGCAGAATCCACCCACTCAATACAGTTTTTAGGCCACCAAAGACTGAATCTGAGGTAGTCTGTTAGAGATGGGATCTGTGCAAATGATTCCTACAGGATAGTTGAAACATAGTGGGACCTGCTCTTTGTGGACACTTTTCTGTAGATATCAGATTTTATTCCTGCTTGACATAGACTTCAAAAATTAAAAGTTAAAATACAAGAAATTACAACATGTCTCAGAGACTTTTCTTTCCACGTAAGAAACAGAGCCCTCACCTGCAGATGATGCCTGCAATGAGGGAAGATGGCATACCTTTTAAACTTTTGTTCCTACTGCTGAAAACTCTAGGATGTTTATCTACCCCCCATGAATTAAATTGAGTCATTCAAATTAATCTGACCTATGCTACCATCAAGCCTTCTTGGCTTACTTCAGCCTCTTATACCTAGATTTCATTTTCTCACTCAATACAAGCCAAACTGCAGCCAGATGCACTGTTTGGGTATAGCTAAGAGGTTGTCTTTTACCTGACCATCAGTGTAGGGTCTTCCCCCACCCTTACCAGGATTTCCGTCTGCTTTGCTGGCACACAGGCATCCACGCTCGCTCCCTAACCCAGTTCTGTCACAATGTTTTGGTTGAGTTGGAAAAATGACTACTAAAAGTGTTCAAGTTAACCTAGATCATTTTGACAGAACCAGGCTGGGGAGTAACTACATGTGCTGTTTACACTGGTAAAACTGAGGAGGCAGTAAATTATGAAGAGTGGAAAAGAAGAAAAGTGAAATGCAAAGAGAACACGAATCACTTCCAGCCATACAATGCATTTGGCTTCAATTCAATAATGCATTAATTCACAGACTTTAGCTATGCTACTTGTGGTTGTTCGAATTTCACTATGCTACTGAAAACTGTGTTCTGTTGTTGGCCAGTTTCTCAAAAGTTTCCATGACAATACAGCACCTATAGGTCATCTGCACTGCTAACACGGTAATGGATTCAAATTTCTTTTTGGCTATTTTTTTTTCCCCCAGCTCTGCCTCCATCTCTTGGACAAAAGTAAGGAGTTGAGGTTCCTCTGCAATTATATGTGAAGAGTGATACTTGTATGGAAGAAGCCCTGATGTAAAAGTCTGTACACATTTACAAATAGACAGTACTTCAAGGCCCAAAAAAACGCCCAGGTCAGGTAGTATATACAATAACTAAATCTAAGACTAATTTTTTCGGGGCACTTTAGGAACAGTTTTCTGGGAGTGGAACAACTGCTAAATGGCTCTTCTAGAGAGCAGCTGATTTGGTTGAATAGAGCTCAGGTTAATAACTGCTGCTGGAAGGAAGCAAGGAGGATAAGACAGAGCAGAGCTGAGATTAGGGCTCCTGGGAAAAGTTGCTCTGTAGGCCAGGTATGGACTGGCTTTCATAACCAAAACAAAGCAGAGAGCAGGAGAAGAACCCTTTGTGATGCTCTGTAGTGAGCTGGTTGAAAAGCAGCTGCTTCGCCCAGCATTCTCCCTTTACCTCTTTTGTTCTTGCTACTTGTATGTGGCTTTGGAATTGGAGGCAAGAGCTAGGGAAAAGAAAAGCTTTTTTCCAAATTAAAATACTGAAATAGTACTAAACTGTGGAAAGATTCTCCTATCAAAATTCCACCACTTCCATTACGCCCAGAGAGACTGCCTCACTTTAAGTGAACTTCTGTAGTCCTGTATAAAAGTTTTAAATGATTATGCTGAGAAAGACTTGGCCTGTTGTTGTAACCATACAGAAGAAAAGGTGGAGTCAAGCCTATAAAAACCTTTAAAAACTAGAAGGAGACATTGGCCTTTTTCTGTCTCATTGGCAGTGTGAGGGATAAAATGAATACTTCAAAGAACATGAATCACCTTACCACTTCTGGAAGAACCTTCTTTGCAAGATCGTGGATAGCTTTGATCACAATACATATAGATGATAGGAGGAATATGACACCCAAGATAACACAGGCTCTAGAAAAAAAAAAAGTTAAGAACATAGCAGTGAGAGAGTTGAAAACTCCAGATGATGCATAACAAACAACAAAATTTTAATGGTAAAAAATCTTATATATGTAAAGATAGAGGCTGGAATTAAAGAACAGAATGAAAAGAAACATCCCGATCCTTCCCAGTTCTTAAAATCCAGTGTGTGTGTGGAAAGACAGGACAGATGTTTCAGATTGAGAATGGGGGAGAAAGCCATGCCTCTTCTGCTCCTGATGATTTACCACGCATTCCCCTACAGGTCTGTTTCTCTCAGTCTGTTTTGGTGTTTTGCTAAGATCTGGCACAATAACAGAAAGCCTTGGTGGGTATTGATAAATGCATAGCCAGTTTACTAATAGATTTTCAGATAAGAACTCTTAGAAAAGAGCAAAATACTATAAACACATGCACAGTGAGAGCAATTTTAATGCTCGAAGCCTTAAATATTTAAGTGATTTCTATATGTACAATTTTTTTCTTCAAAATTTATATTTCCTTTGTTTGATATTCATCATTTGGTACCTCTCTGTTAGCTCTACAGATCCTGTAACTGTTCCAGTAGCACACTACTATTTTTAACAATTCAGATATCAGGTTATCTGCTGGCTGGCAACACACATAATGCTCACATCAAACTCAACCTAGGGATTGTATTTGGACTGATACTGCTCTGCCTAGGTCAGAAGACACAGCAGTGGTAAAGGTAGGCAGCTGGTGATTATTATTCCCCAACACAGAGAACACTGAAACACACCATGGACAATCCATACAGTCCTGCAGGCAAGATCATAAAGAAGCTGCCCTTCTCCAGAGTACAGAAAACGGAGAGGCCAGCACCCTTCCGAGCACCAGAGTGGTGTATGCTAGACCAGTTATTTGTTTCAAGTAGGCACAGCTCTGTTACATCTGCAGTTAGAGGTGATCAGTAAATGACCAAAGATGCAGGAGGAAAGTTCATCTCTCAAGAGGAATAAGCAGAATGGAAAATTAGAGGGCTTTCAGTTTCCCAGTGCATATTTGCAAGCAGATCACAGAATCACAGAATCACAGAATGACCTGGGTTGGAGGGGACCTCAAGGATCATGTAGTTCCAACCCCCCTGCCTAGCAGGGCCACCAAACATACACCTTTACTAGATCAGGTTGCCCAGAGCCTCGTCCAACCTGGTCTTGAACACCTCCAAGGACGGGGCATCCACAACATCCCTGGGCAGCCTGTTCCAGGACCTAACCACCCTCCTAGTAAAAAACTTCCCCCTAACATCCAACCTAAATCTTCCCTCTTTTAACTTAAAACCATTTCCCCGTGTCCTGCTATTATCAGCCCTTATGAAGAGTTTACTCCCCTCCTGGGAGTAAGTTCCCTTCAGATATTGAAAGGCTGCAATGAGGTCGCCCCGCAACCTTCTCTTCTCCAGGCTGAACAAACCCAACTCCCTCAGCCTGTCCTCATAGGGGAGGTGCTCCAGCCCCCTGATCATCTTCGTGGCCCTCCTCTGGACCCTTTCCAAAATCTCCATGTCTTTTTTGTACTGAGGGCTCCACACCTGAACACAGTACTCCAGATGGGGCCTCACAAGAGCAGAGTAGAGAGGGACAATCACCTCCCTATCCCTGCTGACCACCCCTCTCCTGATGGAGCCCAGGATCCCATTTGCTTTCCGGGCTGCCAGAGCGCACTGCTGGCTCATGTTAAGTTTCTCATCTATCAGGACCCCTAGGTCTTTCTCTGCCGAGCTGCTCTCAAGGACAACTCCCCCCAGCCTGTACAGGTGCCTCCCTCACACTGCCAATGAGACAGAAAAAGATCCCTGTTCTGCTGTTGATTCCTCTCAGAGAATTACAGTTTCACCTTATCTGAATGGATTGCTGCAGAGAGACCTGTCAGAGCATCTTGACCAAGAGTGCCAAACTGAAAATTTTTCAGTACCACCTTTATACATTAATTCTCACATATTTAGTACTGTTAAGCTAGAGAGTTTATAATTCACCATCCTTTGTGATCAATTCTGTTATGATTATTTTATTTTGGAGTAGATAAACAGATACTGAAATTTCTTCTCACTCGCCTGGGACAAAAGCAGGAGTTAGGTACTTTGAGCACAGAACTTGTTCACAGAAGTTGGACATTTGCTGAGCCAGTGACAGGCAGAAACAAGAGACAAACACTTTCTGCAAGAATTGCTGACATTGCATCTGAAAGCAACACTGATAGAAAACCTGTTCCATCATTCCCAGCAGGCTTAAATCAACATAACCACAAATCCTCGAGTTGGGAACAATACATTAATCTTTTGTGCTGACACATTCCGTTTTACACCAAGGCAAGAGGAGACAGTGAAACATCACCTTCCATTGGCATACCTTCTATTCCCTGTAAACATCTTCTGGGGAAGACGAGCAAACTTCCTAAAGGTTTGGCAGCAGCCTTGCTGGCACAAGCTGAGTGAGTCCAGGGAATGAGCACCTGCCTTGACCAGTGCCTGGATTCAGCTCTCACTTACACTGGACTCTTCGTGCTTTCTTTGTAAACTCTTCCACCACACAATTCTAACTGCAATTCTGTATCTTTGCTTATGCCAGCAGACAAATAATAACTTCAGCAATCTTGAGCTGCTTATATTATTTCCTAGATCATTTTTACTGTGTCAGAAAAACTTCCCTATCCATACTTATCTGGAAATAGCTAAAAGAAGAAGAAAAAAAAAAAAGTACAATGTAACAGTGGCAAGAGTATTATTAGCAGAGAAATATAGTCTGAGGTTTGACTCAGCATTCAGTCAAGCCTAGCTTCTCCTTTACATACTAGCTTTTGGAATCCACTGCTATGCAAAAGTCATGAGTAATGTTACAGTATTTTAAGTGTGAAAATACATGTTCCTTGTCCTCTGGAGTGTATCAATTGAACTGCAAAGCCACCAGAACAAAATGTTGCATAGTGATTTAACTTCTTTTGCCAGAGGAATAATTTCTACCTAAACTGAAAATCATAAAAAATGCAACCAAATAAGAAGCCTCCAAAAATTAATCTGAAGTTTAACTATCATGCACGATAAGAAAATAGATTGTAACCTTGCTCTTTTCAAGCCATTAGACAACAAAAAACTTTCATACTAGCTTTGTTAGTTTCCATCTGCTACCAATTACACAACTGTTTTGTATCTACATAAGCTGTTTCCAGCTGCAAGTGAAGGGTGTTAGTGCCAAGGTTGCAGGTAAATGCACTTTTGTTAATAACATTCATTTCACTGGATGAGCAAACTGTTATTTCTAAACAAGTTCAAGGGAACTCAGAAGAAACTATAAAACTAATGGACAAAGCGCTAAACAGAAATTTGGTTTGACTGGAAAAAAAACCAGGTAATATTTTCCAAATACCATAGGTTTGGAATTGCCATATAGCAACATTCTTCAGGTCCTCTGAGGTATGAAGGCACTCTGCCCAGTGCCCCCTTCATTAGCAGTTGTCCAAGTATGATAAGCCGTCAGTATCTCTCACTTACACCTCCCATCTCCCATTGGAAACTGTGTTCAGTTTCTATCTGCTGCCTATCAAGAAAAACATTCAAAAAGTTCTTCCTAGACATATTAATCAGCCTAACTCTATCCTACCATAAATCTATCAGTGTTGGACAAGGTGATCTCGGAGGTCTTTTCCAGCCTTGGTGATTTTGTGTGGAGAGGACTCTCACCAGCCCGGGGACAGCCAGTCCCTATACACATGGAGGAAAGCAACAACACATGGCTGTGAGCTGGGTGTTGGTCCCTCAGTCCTCCCTGCCTACAGATTCTCCATGTCACAGCTTCTGCCCACATTCTGCTCACTGTGCTGGGCTCTTCACCACATGGTATGAGCAGGTGGAAAATGTGATTCTGCCCAGCAAGGATGTAGTTCCCCACACAATTGCCAAACCTTTCCATCTCTCTCTGCTATTCCCAGTTTTCATGACTGCAGAATCAGGTCCCATTACCTAAATGTTCCTTCAGGGCTATCATGTCACAGCAAATCCACTCTTGTAAGAAGTTTTTAGCATGATCCACAGTTCCCTATCAGTTTTCTTAGAAGTCAAAGTTTCTCCCTATTTGATTTCAAAAACCTGAAACATTAGAAGTTCCATATTGAATTGAAGCAGAAAAAAACAATGCATGCATGTTCTGTGAAAACCAGCATTAGCTATGTAAGAAACCTCCTTCTTCAAATGTAAGTAAATACCTTACTCTTACTTAAAAAGCAAAATAAGAAATCTTTTTTTAAAATCCTGTACTTATTTTACAGGCATTTCTACATGGGTTAATATACGCTGTCTTCCCACTGAATCTTTACTACATCATTAGAGATAAAATTTATCTCTCTATATATATAATACAAAATAATTGACCATTATATGTTTTACAGGCACCAGAAGAGATCTGACAAAGAATGCATTAATCTGAAATTTCTTTCATTTCTATGTACTATTTCTTCTAAAATCTTCTGAACAGAAAGAAGTACAAAGAAAATGTAGCCAAAGCACTTTGAAACAATGGTACAACATGACTGGACTTTCGTAGACAATGAGCTTTCTAGAATCTTTCAGAATGCAGCATAAAGAACAACAGACTGACTCAGAAAGGACAAGGTGAAGAAATCTGAAGCTTTTTTCTTAGTGCATCAGCACTGGGAATGTAAGAATAATCAAAATTATATCACCAAGTAGTCAATAGAAGTATTTAATATTACAGGTTTAACAGTTAAACCACTAAGTCTTTCTCAAGCAGATGATGATCTGCAGAGCATATTTCTTTATGTGCTTTTGATGCAATATTTCTATATGAAAAGCCAGAAGACAATATGAAGTATAATTCACTGTATTAAAAATGAATTCATCAATTTTGTCAGCTTTGCAATCTGACTTTGCCACAGATAAAACTGATAAATCACTCGCACTACTGCCTCAGGAATTCAGAATTAAACTGTTTGGACTTTAGAACAATTTGTATGGCTTT